CTAATTTTTTTAAAAGATACCGGAAATGTCGGTTGTTCAAAATTAATCTCAGGTTAACAGGTTACGATATGGACAACCTGTAACCTACCCTGTAAAAATTTCATAACCTGGCCCTGCCCTGTCCTGCCCTGTCAGGGCAGGGCAGGGCAGGGCAGGTTACCTGCATCCTGCAGGGCTCTACTACAAACATTGGAAGAGTTCGAAGAGATGTAACGTGCTGACCTCGACGCTTTCCAGTGATTCACTCCCTATTGCTACTTTTTCTTCATTGTTAAACGATTCAGACATGGACAACAATGAGAACGATGATCAAAACTCATCCTCTTCTTTACCGGCTCCGTCGAATACTCGAGCGACAAACAAACGAACTGCCTCTTCAATTCGGTCAAAAGTTGTTACAACATCAGCCAAACGACAACGATATACATAGTAAACATAGTAGAGAAAATTTTTTATTATTGCTTATGTAAATTATCTTTCTCAATTCTCTTGTTTTTTATTCTTTTGTTGCTATTATTTATTCTTCCTTTATTTTTTTATACATGTGTAATATAGATTTTAGGACATACAGGTAAAATAAAACAGTTTGATTTAGACAAGTGAGCTTTATCTTCGGCTTTATTCGGTATTGGAGAAAAGTGAAACAGGATGTATTTTTGACTTAACTTCTTTAGTTAACGCATTACTAAGATAATCAACTCTTACTCATTCTCTTTTTTGTTTTTTAGATTTTATTATAAACACAAATGTCGACATTGAAACTTCCTTCTCCTATACTCTCTATATCTTCATCTGATCTCTTCGACCTTATTCGTTCTCATTGTGGTCAAGAAGTCCTCGATATTGTTATAGCACAAAAAATTCCCGACATACAAACTCTTCTTCGAGTAAATGATTTGTTTACTCTTGTTTATCTTCCAACAGATGAATTTCGAGAACTCAAGGAAAAGGTGGCAGTACAGCTTCACGATGGTACTTGGTCAGTGTTGATCGGATTTCAAGCTCGTGTCGATGAACTCATGAATGCTCTTAGAGAACAAACTCGTCTCGATGAAAATGCATATTATCCATCATCCAATATTACGTCAACTCCTGATCATCTGACACTGTCTATTGAACTTCTCAACAAATTTCCTGCTCTTTCTTCTCTCATCAAACTTTACACAGATATTCATACACTTTCCGATCGAAACGATCTCACACTACTCATTGAAATACTAAATAACATTTGTACTAATTTGACAAGATCAAAAAATAATTTCTAATATTCCGACTATATTATGAAATTTGCTATTTTACTCTTCATTTATAGTGGCCGAAATGCGTATCGATTTGTTTCACTCAATGTTCCTGGTTTTCTTCCATCAATCACTACTATTAAAAAAAGACTTGCAAATTCTTCCTTTCGTATGTACGGGGCTCACTTTCGGTTCGACGCAATGCACGACTACTTTTCTTCGAATGGCTTCACTTTTGCCTTTGCCGCAGAGGATACCACAGGTGTAATTCCTAAAGTGACTTATGATTCAATGTCCAATTCATTCATTGGCTTCGATACACCTCTTGCAGACGGACAGCCACTACCTGATCAGCATCGTACGGATTTCTACGCGGAACTTCAAAAATGGCTTGAAGAAAAACAAACATCTACTTTCATCAATGTCCATATGTTACAACCTCTTCTTAATACCTCGTCCGATCGAATTCCTTCGCCTTTTCTTCTTTCTGCCTATGGTATTGCCGGTACTTACACTGCTGAAGATGTACTTAATCGCTGGCTTTGGATATACGAAGAAACCAAGAAAAAAGGCATTCGAATTATTGGTTTTTCAACCGACTGCGATAGTCGCTATCTTCGAAGTTTGAGAATAGCCAGCGGTTTCTTCGCATTCAACATTGATCATCCGTTCAGATATCATACTGATGCTTTCAAAGCAAATATTCCTTCTCATTGGCATTGGTTCTATCTTCAACCTTCACAATTATGTTTATTTATACAAGTGAGCGCTTAATCTATATATTGGAGTGAATAGATTTTTATTCTTTTTTGATCATTCTCTATAAAAATTATGAAACTAAGTTGTTACGAAGCAGAAGCTCCAGTTCTTACTTAATTTGGGTAACACGACTGTTGTTCCCAGGACACTTGTTCTCCAGCGACACTTGCTCTCCGAATAGTTGAGGGTAAAGGCGCGAGTCTGAGTGATGGTGAGGGCGTGAATGAGGATGATGATGTAGGTATGGGTGAGGGCGAGACAGAGTGAGTTTCGGTTTTGATTGGGACTTGATCTGGGCCTAGGGAGCAAATGTCGCTAGGGAGCATCCGCCCGTGGAACATCTGTCATGGAATCCTTAATTTAAGCAAATAGTTGCAAATTGTTTTTTGTTTCATTGTTTTTCTTTGTTTAGGATGGAGTGCATCTGTGCACCAAGCTCCGCAACAGATTGCTGCCGAAGAATGCGTTCCTTTTGTTTGGTGGTGAAATTATATCCAATATTATTCTTATTCATATGATTTCTACTACATCGAAAATTCGTCATGGTTTAGTTTACTCCGATGTGCGACCACGCGATCGACAAAATTTTTCTTCGTGCCAAAAAATCTGTCAAGAAGACGTTTTTAAAATACTTAAAACAATGGATGGTGTTATTCCAAATACGAAAGGCATATACTTATATTTAAAACTTATTGAATGTATCATCTTTGCATACTGCGAAAAGGACATATTGCTTACTGATCGTCTTCACTATGCCTGGCTTTCAGTCTTCATTTGCAGATTTTGGCGAGTTTGGCTCAATACTCAGCCCAGAGAGACACTCGAAAAAACGTTTTCTACTCAATTCGATACTCTTGTTGCTTTTCTATCGTCTCAATCGTCTATAAATATTACGACTCCGGAACCGTCCGCGAAAAAAACTAAACGGAGTTTTACCATCACTAATCCTAGTTTATTCTCTATCGAAATCAATGCACATTCATTGACGTATCTTGTTCTTCTTGCTATCGATGGTCAACTACCATTTGATGCACTCTCAATCGAACTTTTAAATTCTCAATCGTGTGAAAGTGTATTTCGCTCAGCAAGAGCAATGTCAGGCGTGTCATCAAACATCGCGAACTTTACCGTTCTTGATTTCCTACGACGCGCTGATAAAATAAGTGCTCTTCAGTTGATCAAAACAGAACAAGAATATTCATCCGGTCTTCGCTTTCCCAAACATCATAAGCATGGCAAAGTCGCACGTGGTCCCTCTTCTTCGTCATCATCAACATTTATGTATTCGTCTCTTCGACCGGTCGATATCGAGACAATAGTCGAAGGAGCCTTTGCAACTGCATATGAACTAATCGAACCACTCATTGGTAAAGATACATTAAAAACAAGCAAATATAAAACAACGGCAAGTCTTTCTAAGCTCATCATCAAACATTAGGAGACTGCAAAACTTAAAAGTCGATCGTCACAACTGCAGCAAGTTTTTGATGACCCATCGGAAGAAACCGACAATGAAGATGAAGATGAAGAAGATACAGATGAAGAAAATACAGACGAAGAAGATACAGATAAAGATGAAGTACAAGATCTTTCTCACGTTCTTCTTGATTCGTCGAATGCCTCTTTTAGAGGCATGCGTGTGAAAGAATCCGTTGATCCAAAACAATTCGATTCGTTCTTCAAAGTTCCACGAGAAAATGACACTACTGATGTTTATATCCACAAGCAAACAGCTTGTTGGGTATTGACAAATGAGAAATCTTCTCTTTCTTCTGATCGTTTGAAACGCGTTACACAATCAAAATAAAATGTATGCGTAGCTATCCAACAGATAGCTTCCATTATACATAAATCAGCAAAATGTGACACCTTATAAAGTACGGAATCATAATGTTATAGTACTTGTACTTGTTCTTGATTTATGTGCTATCTTCTCTCCTTTTCTATACAGATTGTATCATTTCTCTTTCTTTCTTTTTTTTTGTTTTCTTTTCGTTCCTTCTTTTTCTCTTAACTCCTCTACTGTGAGGACCATGAAACTGGTGGTCAGTTATTAGCAAAATAAAAAAAATGTATGCGTAAAATGAGAATATGATTAAATATTTTTTAGGACATACAATTCTTAATATTTCTTGAGATAGGCATAACTAAGCAGACGCAATACATGACAACTAAAGCTGACAAAACTCCTAGTTTGAATGAACACATAAAAAACAGAAGACTGAGAGTTTTGGGACCTCTTTTTACCTGTACTTTGATGAGAGGAGTAGTCAAAAGTCTTGAAGAATGCCACTGCTGTGAATGAGAGAGGACGATTGATTTAGTCAAATCAATGTACCTTGTTATGATAGGACTTTGTTTCACAATGGAAAATATGATATTTAAATGATAGACAAGGAATAAGAAGTTTAAAAGTTCAAAAAAAAATTTCAGGAATCTAAAAGAAATCTAAAAAAATCCCGAATAATCCCAAATAATCCCAAATAATCTTAAATAATCCCAAATAATCTTAAATAATCCCAAATAATCTTAAATAATCCCAAATAATCCCGAAAAATCCAAAAAAATCTTTTTTGGATTTTAGAATCTGTGAAATCCCAAATCCGCTTTTTCCCCCTTGGATATGTATGTGTTTGTTGGAATGAAAGATAACATCATTGATACGTATGAATTATATGAGAAGAGAGAATCTTGCGAATGGGATCCTCTCGACTCGTCCCAAATTAGTCAATATCGATGGGAAGCTAGCATGACACGACGAATTACCACGACGAGAGAAAAGAAAAGCATATTGGTCAAATTATCCACCAATCAAAAAATAGAAAAACGAAAAACATGCGAATGGAGGTTCACAATTTGAAAATGGTGACCCTTGACAACGGAATTTTAATGCAAAGGATCGCCATATTCCACAGCTCTTTGTTTTCTTTTCCCCCGCTACCGATAAAAAGAAAACAATTGCGCCAGAAAATCGACACAATCGTTAAAAACATATGCAGTTCCAGTAATTCAACCCCTACTTTATCTCTGCGTGATTATCACCTGAAGGTAAGCTACCCATCATTCGATGTAGAATTTAATACTGCATCGAATGATGTTATTTTTATGGACGGCCGACACTCCTGAAGAGAAAACCATTGGGTCGAAAATTCGAACTATGGTTGAACAAATTCGCTATTGAAGTATTTCAACGGCTATTCTCTCTCTTCGTGAATATCACCCGCAGATGAGTTATACATGATTTGATGCAGAATTTAATTCTGCATCGAATGTTATATAACTCATGGACGGGCGATATTCATCAAGAGAGAACTCTTCGATCCGAAAATCGCCGCAATGCAAAAAAAATATGCTGCTGAGGTATTTCAACAGCTATTTTCTCTCTTCATGAATATCACACGAATATGAGTTATACATCATTCAATGCAGAATTTAATACTGCATCGAATGATATATAACTGATGAACCGACAATATCCTTGAACAGAGAACCATTCGATCCGAAAATCGGTACCATGGAAAAAAATATGCTATTGAAGTATTTCAACGGCAATTTTCTCCCCTCGTGAATATCTCCCGAACATGAGTTATACATCACCTGATGCAGAATTTAATTCTGCATTGAATGATATACAACTGATGAACGGGCGCTATTCCAGAAGAGACAACCATTCGATCCGAAAATCGCTACAATGAAAAAAATTAATGTGGAAACTTCGGATTAAAATCCGAGAGTTATGTGTACTTCAAAAAGTGAATGAGACGGATGAGTCATCTTAGAATGTGTTAACATAAAAATTATCCTGGTAAATCTTGCCTATAAACGCTTGATTTCTATTGGCTACTGCTCAACCAATAGGATTTGAGGGTAAATACAGAGAAGATTTAAACTCTTCACCTTGATTTACCCTAGGAAAGTCGTTTTCCTATAACTTCATTTCTTTTGGTTACTGTTCAACCAATGGGATTTCGAGGTACATGGAACACAGATTCGAGTTCTCCGCTCTAGAAAACCTCGAACTATCATCTCTGTGATCATAAGATAGAACTCGAATTGTAGATCACATAGAGCGTGGACGAAAACAGAACCGAGTTCCGTTTAATTATCTGTGCAATAGGTGAGTTAGCTTTCTTGTTTCCGTATGTTTTATATACCATTTTGTAGCTCGTGAAATTCTCTATGGAATGGTATATTATAGTTGGGGTTTTAATTGACTATGATAGGAAAAGTTTTTAAGGAAAACAGAGAAGGATCGATCTTCTCAAAGAGAAGTATAGGGAAAAATGACTATTTTTCAAATAACTCAGCAATGGCTCGGCCAATCATTCTCATCTTCTCTCGACACAGATATTGTTGAGACAAAACTGTGTAGAAAATTTCATCGCGATCGGACTCTTCTTTCAAAAGTTATCGTGTAAACGGACGGACGGACACACTGACCGATTCTAGAGTGTACTCACTTTTTGAGTACACAATAACAGAAGAATTTCGTTTTCATTCGACTTGATAGATTCAACTATAACGAGAGGCAGCCAAATATTATCACTAAATAATTTTATTTATCATTGATATATAATGATAAATAATTTTATTATTCTTATTCATTTATTTGATAATATACTTATCTCATAGCAAAAGTCTTTACGAACGATAGATCAATTTCTTAATGAATTATTCAATAAGTTTTCTTTTTCTATAGACTAATTGGAAAAACAAAGGTCGAAATTTTGAGATAATTTCATCATTCTTCATGTAATTCTAATAAGAAAAGAATTCTCCATTAGATTTGTCTTATCTATTATATATAACAATGATATTAGTCGATATTAGGACGTGCCTTTGGCTGTCAGTGCACCTGTGGATATTTACTTAACACATTGGGCACGATGTGGCCCACCGGTGGGCCACGCTATGGTTTTACGAGTAACTGTATAGAAGAACACTTTCTTTTGATTTTTTCTTAGGCACGAGGTTATAAACATGAAGTGTCAGTTGTTCTGTGTTCAGTGCTTTATTTGCGTCCTTTATTCCATAGGATAATGCTTGTCATTAAAACACTCTAGACAAAAAAACTTATCACAGTCAGAACANCTTATGATTCAATGTCCAACTCATTCATTGGCTTTGATACACCTCTTGCACACGGACAGCCCCTACCTGATCAGCATCGTACGGATTCATATGTAGAACTTCAAAAATGGTTTGAAGAAAAACAAACATCTTCCTTCATCAATGTCCATATGTTACAACCTCTTCTTAATACCTCGTCCGGTCAAATTCCTTCACCTTTTCTTCTTTCTGCCTATGGTATTGCCGGTACTTACACTGCTGAAGATGTACTTAATCGCTGGCTTTGGATATACGAAGAAACCAAGAAAAAATGCATTCGAATTATCGGTTTTTCAACCGACTGTGATAGTCGTTATCTTCGAAGTATGAGAATAGCCAGCGGTTTCTTCGCATTCGACATTGATCATCCGTTCAGATATCATACTGATGCTTTCAAAGTAAATATTCCTTCTCATTGGCATTGGTTCTACCTTCAATCTTCGCAATTATGCTTATTTATACAAGTGAGCGCTTAATCTATATACTGAAGTGAATAGATTTTTATTGTTTTTTGATCATTCTCTATAAAAATTATGAAATTAAGTCGTTACGAAGCAGAAGCTCCAGTTCTCACTTAATTTAAGCAAATAGTTGCAAATCTCTTTTATTTCTTTGTTTCGCTTTGCCTAGGATGGAGTGCATCTGTGCACCAAACTTCGCAACAGATTGCTGTCGAAAACTGCGTGCCTTTTGTTTGGTGGTGAAATTATCTCGAATCTTATTCTTATACATATAATTTCTACTGCATCGAAAATTCGTCATGGTTTAGTTTACTCCGATGTTCGACCACGCGATCGACAAAATTTTTCTTCGTGCCAAAAGATCTGTCAAGAAGACGTTTTTAAAATACTTAAAACAATGGATGGTGTTATTCCGAATACGAAAGGCATATATGTATATTTAAAACTTATTGAATGTATCATCTTTGCATACTGCGCAAAGGACATATTGCTCACTGATCGTCTTCACTATGCCTGGCTTTCAGTCTTCATTTGCAGATTTTGGCGAGTTTGGCTTGATGCCCAGCCCCGAAAGACACTCGAAAAAATGTTTTCTACACAATTCGATACTCTTGTTGCTTCTCTGTCGTCTCAATCGTCTATAAAGATTACGACTCCGGAACCGTCCGTGATAAAAACCAAACGACATTTTACGATTACTAATCCTAGTTTATTCTCTATCGAAATCAATGCACATTCATTGACATATCTCGTTCTTCTTGCTATTGATGGTCAACTACCATTTGATGCTCTCTCAATCGAGCTTTTAAGTTCTCAATCGTGTGAAAGCGTATTTCGCTCAGCAAGAGCAATGTCAGGCGTGTCATCAAACATCGTGAACTTTTCCGTTCTTGATTTCCTACGACGTGCCGATAAAATAACTGCTCTTCAGTTGATCAAAACAGAGCAAGAATATTCATCCGGTCTTCGCTTTCCCAAACATCATAAGCATGGCAAAGTCACACGTGATCCCTCTTCTTCTTCATCATCAACGTTTACCTATTCGTCTCTTCGACCGGTCGATATCGAGACGATAGTCGAAGGAGCCTTTGCAACTGCATATGAACTAATCGAACCACTCATTGGTAAAGATACATTACAAACAAGCAAATATAAAACAACAGCAAGTCTTTCTAAACTCATCATCAAACATTACGAGACCTCAAAACTTAAAAGTCGATCGTCACAACTGCAGCAAGTGTTTGATGACCCATCGGAAGAAACCAACAATGAAGATGAAGATGAAGAAGACACAGATGAAGAAGATACAGATGAAGAAGATGCAGAAGAAGAAGATACAGATGAAGATGAAGTACAAGATCTTTCTCACGTTCTTCTTGATTCGTCGAATGCCTCTTTTAGAGGCATGCGTGTGAAAGAATCCATTGATCCAAAACAATCCGATTCGTTCTTCAAAGTTCGACGAGAAAATGACACTACTGATGTTTATATCCACAAGCAAACAGCTTGTTGGGTATTGACAAATGAAAAATCTTCTCTTTCTTCTGATCGTTTGAAACGAGTTACACAATCAAAATAAAATGTATGCGTAGCTATCCAATAGATAACTTCCATTAGACATAAATCAGCAAAATGTGACGCACATAAAGTACGGAATCATAATGTTATACTACCTGTACTTGTTCTTGATTTATGTGCTATCTTCTCCCCTTTTCTATACAGATTGTATCACCTCTCTTTCTTTCTTTTTTGTTTTTTTTTGTTTTCTTTTCTTTCCCTCTTTTTTCTCTTTTTCTCTTAACTCCTGTACTGTGGAATCATGAAACTGATCATTAGTTATTAGCAAAATAAAAAAAATCTATGCGTAACATGAGAATATGATCAATTATTTTTTAGGACATACAATTCTTAATATTTCTTGAGATAGACATAACTAAGCAGACGCAATACGTGACAACTAAAGCTGACAAAACTCCTAGTATGAATGAACACATAAAAAACAGAAGACTTTGAGCGCTTTGGGACCTCTTCTTACCTGTACTTTGATGAGAGGACTAGTCAAAAGTCTTGAAGAATGCCACTGCTGTGAATGAGAGAGGACGATTAATTTAGTCAAATCAATGTACCTTGTTATGATAGGACTTCGTTTCACAATGAAAAATATGGTATTTAAATGATAGACAAGGAATAAGAAGTTTAAAAGTTCAAAAAAAAATTTCAGGAATCTAAAAGAAATCCCGAAAAATCCCAAATAATCCCAAATAATCCCAAATAATCCCAAATAATCTCAAATAATCTCAAATAATCCCAAATAATCTCAAATAATCCCAAATAATCCCAAANTTAAATCTGCACACAAACAAATAACTATTAAAATAAATATAGATTCAGAAAAACAAGAAATGTTTCATAATTTAAATAATTAATTCTATAAATTCATTTTTATTTTCAAATGATTCCAAAATATGTAAATAATTTACATCGTTTTCCATCAAATAAATTTAATCTATTTGAAATTATATTCTCAATGAAATGTCGTATTTGAATTCCAATATCAGATAGTTCAATAGTAATCAGATATTGTTCAGATGTAAGTAATGTTTGTTTATTAGTTTTTTCATCGTATAGAAAAGTCAAAAGATCAGAATCGGAAATATTTAATGATGAATAAGTATAACCAAGTAGTTGAATTGGTTTAGAAAGTAGTTGATCATTACTATCGACAACAAATAATACTTGACCTAGAAAAAAATATAGATCGATTGTTATATTTCATATTATAATACAGTTGATTGGACGCGGAAGGATGTAGAAAGTAGCGCATAATAAAGAGTATACTTTTCATGTTTTTTTCTTGAAGACCTAAAGCATAATTGTATGAATATAGAAAACAACGAAGTCCTAAAAATTGGAGTTGAATTCGATCCTGTTTCGTGTCTATATGTCTGCATAAGATATTGTTGAAACCGTTCAAAATCCCTAAATGATATTTTTCAGATCGAAAATGTAAAACGATTCATTTTTTTGTGGTTCTAGACTTTTCTCCAACCAGGTACCCGTCTTTTAGTTTATAAATATTTGCATGATAATTTTTTGGAAATCTAAAGTCGTCCCAATTTTATCAATTGACTTCTAATCGAAGTTTTGGATGAGCAAGGAATGCATTACTTAAGATTTTCAAAAAAATGTCATGAATAACAGCCTGTTGCTCCTATTATTCAGAAGTAAAATATTTGAAATCAATACATAGAAGTATTTATGGGTAGTTAGTGGTAATTAGTATTTTTAAAATTTAGATTTTCTCTCAGAAAAGTTTTTTGTGATCTCGTTATATACAGAATTCAATTTCAAATAAACTGATGTGATTTATTCATTGAACAGTCAGAATTTTTAGTTCAAACATTGTGAAAAATGCATTAAAAGATACTAAATTTGATTACATTTTTCAATTCTCAATAGATCAATCATTAATTAACAGTCTTTCATGGGTTACAGTTGGACGGCTGAATGATGATGAATCTTCTGAATTTTTGTGCAACAAGCAGCATGAAAACAATAGTTTTGTAGAACAAAAATGATGTTCTATAATATCTGTTTAGAATGAGGACTTACTTGCTGGTAATTTATCAAAGGAAATCGATTTTACATTAAGTCTAATAGATTTATATATTGAATGATGTGATGATATTTCAATAATTTGAATAGTTTTTTGATAATCATCAATATATTCAAATTCAATCGATTCCAATGTTAATTGTTAAAAAGTGATTGATTCACATAATAATATGTCATTTTTATCAAGAATTATTAATTTATGCTTATCATTTGAAATATAAAAACGATCTGATTCAAATGATAATCTAATAAGATTAAGTTCATCTGAAAGTGGCATATTATGTTCATCAACAAGAGATAAAGGTTGTTCTATTAGATTTCTTAAATTATCAACTGGAAGATATTTTAATTTAGCATCTTAATAAAAGAATTTGAATGATTAGAATGATAACGAGCAGTTGTAATATTTAATAAATTCTATGTATTGTTAATCAAATTCAACAAATTTTTTCAAAGTCATTTTTATCGATTATAGATTTTTTTCGTTTATTTTCTATTCTAAATATTCATTTTTGATAATTTGAAGACGATCACTCTATAAGTATTGGATTAGGTAATAAGCAATCTAATATTAATAACTTACAATATCTATTCTTAGTAAATCTTGTGATATTTTCTTTTCATGAATTATTGTTTGACAATTTTTCATATTCATAGCTATTGTTGATAGATTATCATGAATCAATGTTATATCTTTATCAATTTGTAATTCAATCGGTACCATAGATTATAAAGATGTTTTTATTATAATCAGTGATTTATTAGGAATAATATCTGTTAATGTTTTACCATTAAGAATTTGTCCTATTAGTTGTAAATCTATATCAAGTGTTCGAATAGCTAATTCAAGACATGTTCGAAATATAGGTTGGATTTCAAAGTATTCATATTGTGGAATTTTATTAAAATAATTTTTGTATTTATAGAATTAATTATTTAAATTATGAAACATTTCTTGTTTTTCTGAATCTATATTTATTTTAATAGTTATTTGTTTGTGTGCAGATTTAATTAGTTCTTGATGATGTTTTTGATCGTTTAAAACATTTTCTATTTGATTAATTTGTTGTTGAAAAACATTTTGTAATTTTGAAATTTGGGGGTGTGGGTGGGTGTGGTTGTGTTTTTTCATTCACACCCACTGAAAATTGGTAATTAACATTTACAGACTTTCTCGCTGCATTAAAGAAATTAGTGATAAAGTGGGAAAACAAGAGCACATAGCACGATTCAGTACCATCTAAGGGTGCTGACATGTAGAAAGAAATTCGCTGAGCTACGAATATGTATATTATATAGAGAAGGAAAAAAATCAAGGAATGTGATTTGAAAGAACCATACCCACACTAAGAATGATGAATATACAAGTAGAAAAATCGAGTAAATAAATACAATTCAGAACGATGGAACATTTTCCCCACCCACCATCCAAGATTCACATGACAGAAATTGAAAATTCTTTTGGTTGCATCTGTCGAAATCGACAACGGATTGCATAATTCTATTTGACTAGCAAGGCATAACAACTTTGCTATACAACTATTAAAAAGAACAACCGAAAAGCCCTAGTATAGATCAAAATAACCAACATGATCGCAAACTAATAAATAAATATAATATAATTCTGGATGTCCTATCCAAGTCAGTTCTCAGCAGTATCAGTACAACTACAATACCAAAAATAATGAAGTTCAGCAAAAATTTGAACAACCAAAAGTTCATCTGGATATGATTAGATATCTGATCACATGATCGAATTGCTGCCCGAGTCCATATGTATCACTTAGTTAAATGTTTTAATGTCTGACTACGAGAAAGTATATACCAGGATTTTTGGAGGACCACTTAGCTAAAATAACATCATGAAATAAACTAAAACTCAGTGTACTTCGACGAGAACCTGACTCGATCTATTTCACTTTTGGCAACATGATGGTACAACCTATATTATCATGTTGTTGACAACTGCGACGCAGATAAACCCAAGTCTATCACATTATGCAATTCATTCTATCTGATAGCAGCTAATTATAAGTTTATTTTTTCTTACTTATAACTGCTTACACTAGCAGTAAAACTTAGTCAGAGAGAAGGAGTATAAAAGAAAACCTTCGTGAGATGGAACTTTTTAAAAACTAAACCGGATACTCAAAAGTCACAAAATCCAATCGAGAGAAGAGTTTCGACTATTAATATCTTTATTATCTATCATTATCTTCTTTTTAATTTTTACCAGTAACTACTTAAAAAACATTCATGAACTTCTCGCTTTCTTATAGTTCTTTTAATTTCAAATCGAGTGCATTCCTTGTCTCTTTTCTTCTGATTGGTGCTTGTTACTAAGCGATTAACTTGATTATCATTTTATTCTCATCTTTTCTAGCTGACATTCTCTAAAAGCTTAATTCAAATACCCTCAACACTACGCTGAAAGTTTAGTACTGATTGGAAGTCTAATGTCCAAAACCGTTCACCCATTTCCATGTTATTAACTTTTTAATACATTATAAATTCCGATGGTTTTTTTTTGCACTATTATAATTCCAGTTAAGTCTACTGTTTTCGTACATATCACCGCAAGAAACTTCTTCTATAAGAAGATCTAGTATTATTAAAAAAACTTGCTTATCACTTGTTCAAATGACACTAAGAGCCGAAAACGCAATCTAGACATGCTGAATGATTAAGGCTATCTAACATATGAATTGAATAAGTTGTGTTCGTAAACTAACGGTCAGAAGCCACGGCACACATAGCTAACTAATTCTTTTGTTTCTTTTTCAATTATCAAGCGGAGTACGTAACTCATTTGGCGTCATGCTACGACATGTGCAACATATTCTTTTATTTTAGGCTGGATCATACTATATCTATATCTTCGTGAATGGCATCAATCTTATGGTTTATCAACTATCTTTTAATTCAATGTCATCTCTAAGTCATCATTATTGCTCAAAAGCGTTTAAATCGCCCGAAATCTGATTGTAATCGACATAGGTATACATTTCTTAAGTTATTTGTTTTTGTGATATTATTAATTAATTTTAATTGTTATATTCGACTAAAAATTGTATTTATTATCAATGATTTTATGTCTTGTTTGACTGACAGAATATTTGAGTAAAAAGAAAACCAATCCTAGTTTAAAACAACAGGTTTTTCATGAAAAAATATCGATTGAAAAAGAGCTACCAAATTATTCGTGAAAAAAAAATCACTTTTGTGATAAAAAAGTATCGAAAAACAATGAAGTTCTTAACTGCAAGGATAATAGCGTCTAAGTGTTGAGAAAAAAACTCCATCGCTATTGTCATTGTCTTCTGTTAATCCATATCAACAAGAGTTACCATCAAAGAATAGAAAATGAAACGAGTGCATCATCATCAAATGCACAAGACATTAAAAAAAATCATTATACCATCAGTCTTGCTATCATTGTTGCACAAACTGTTTTCCCAAATAATAGTGAGTATGAGAAAGTGAAAACTACGTGGTTTAAACTCAAAAAAGAAATTTTTTAAATTGTCCATTGATTATCGGGACACTCATTTTCAATTCTAGAACATCTTGTCATTGATTCACTCGTTGTTTCACTCACTGTGGATAAATGAATAAGCCTGAAAGTAGGTGATAACAGACAACAGATGTATGTGTTGGTTCGCTCTCACTCACACTGCCATAATCCATTTGAATCTTGGTAGTACAAAATATCGTCTCCATTCAAAAGTAATGCAGTAGTATGAAGAATTTTTTCATGAGATCGATCATAACAACAATTGAACAAGAAAACAGTGTGTTTATTATGGTCCAGTTGTCAGGACCATTGATTTTGGTACCGGAGTAGAGTGTGCTTGTTTTCTGTTTTAAAGAAGAATGACTCAGGATTCTAGAAGAATTAAAGCAATGTAGAATTATAACATCAGTGTACGGCTAAAAATACTTGTAATTAGTATACATATACATATGTGATTGTATTATCTTTTTCTTTTGCATTCTTTTTACATCATTTGAGTAGTTTTCGCTCAAAGATTCACTTCTATTCTTGCCCAACTCTGCTTCTTATGACGACATACACATTAGTTTCACATGTGTCTACTATTCTCTTTTCATTGACATTTGATTTTGTTTTTCTTCTGAAATTATTCGCAGTTTATATTACTTCAGTTCGTTACGTTGAATTGCATATACAGTACTCACAAAAAGTCCCGCACCCAGATGAAAACTATCTAAATCTCAACCATTTGGGCTCATTTTTTTACTGTAAATAGAACTCTATGAATGCTGATCATAGGAACCAACAAGAGCCGGTTTACTCAGAATACTAAGGACTTACAAGGCAAATATGTACTTCCCCTTAAAGTAATGATATCTCGGCATGGAAAGCGAATCATCTAGTGCGCAACCCCGCATTAGAGAGGGCAACACTACCTCTCTCTCACATAAAAATTTCAGGCAAAACGGCTTCTGTTTGCCGGAGTTATCAAGTATTCTTTGACAATCATTGACATGTAGCTACAAGCAATCTACCAGAAATGTATTCAAAATTTACCTTTTTCTCCAATCGTTCAGCTTGAAACTTACACTAGAGGATGCTTTTTAGTACAGTACTTGTTTCTGAAATTTTCAGAATTTCATCTAGTAGTAGACGAGAGTTTCGTCTTGAAATTGTTCTAGATGTTGTAGGACCTGGTGAATCTCAAATGAGCGACGTATTCAAATGATTTTTATTTGGTGAATACACATTCACAAGACCGTTATATAGATGACAAAATAGCAGCAAAAAGTATTAGAATTCACACTGAACAACAGAAATATATCGTTATGCTGCTGAACAATGATAATCAAAAATGTAGGTGAATATTGTCTACTAACTTTTCTCATTATAAAATCTTCAATTAACGGAATTCTTTATGTACCTATTTGTTTGTAATAAAGACTCGTACAACTTTAATCTAAGTTCTATTCGATATGTATCATAGGACCTGCTCATATTAACATTTGTCTATCGTCGTCTTAATCCTCTTAGTGGATGCATTTATGGTCATGCAAAAAGTAATGATCCTTTTAAGACTGATTTTAACTAAGACCGTCTCTGTTTAATGAAGCAAATTATAAATTGTTTGCAATCAAGTTTATTCTTATATAATTTAAAAATGAATTAATAGAGTATGTATTCGCCTCGAGATTGAATAAGTTCTTCAACACGATTTTTCATACTCCATACAAGTTTAGATGCTAATTCTTTGGGAAGATCATTCCACTCCTTGTAAATTGCTCTTTTTAAATCTTTGATTGTTTTCGGTTTTCGATTTGAAATTTTAATTTTCAATAATGACCAAAGATTTTCTATAGGGTTGACATCCGGGCTAAGAGATGGCCACGGAAGTGTTTTAATATGATGATCTTGTTTCCATGCAGTACTAATGTTTGATTTGTGTTTTGGGTCACTGTCCTCCACAAGAACCCAATCATGGAGCCGTCCAAAATGAACACGAGCTGTAGGTAAAAGAGCATTTCTGTATATTTCATTGCAAAGTAATTTACTATTTAAATTGTGTTGGAAACAAACAATTTTACCAAAACCTGAAGCGGACAAACAACCCCATATATTTATTTTCAATGGGTACTTTACCGTTCGTACCACTTTGCGTTCACCAGGTTGTTGCCAATAATATTTTTTAAGAGTATTTAAACGAACAGTAGTTTCATCACTGAAAACCGCTTTATTCCAGTCAAAATTTTCCATTGAGCGGGCCCAGTTCAGCCGATAATGTTGGTGCTGTGGACTAAGAAGAGGTTTTGAAAGTGGTTTTGAATATTTAAATCCGGTTTCGATTAGGCGATTCTGAATGGTACCACCCACGAAAAAAATTTTTTTAAAAGTTTCCGTTCCAACGCGTTTATTTTTATGTTCACATGTTTTCGCTAGAAGTTAAACGCAGATTTTAAAACGCGTTCAAACGCCTCATTTTATCGGTAAAAACGGCTACATATCAACTAAAACGCGTTGCTAAAAACGCATTCCAACGCTTCTTTTTTCGAATAAAACATTAACAACCAGCTT